CACAAGCCATCAAAGTGGAGTCCCTGGGAAATAATTGCATGGGTCGCGGAAATCTAAGATGCTGTATACGGTCTCAAAGCGGGCTAGAGCATAATAAAATGGCGTGTATCAACAATTACCTGTAACTTCCGTGGCACCCTTTGCCCAATGTTGCAGCAGCACTAGGTGAAAAAATTTTCCGCTGAAATGTCGGACTTAGAGTATCAATTGACCCTGGAACGACTTTTAAGCCACAGCAAGCCCGAGTCAGCCGTTAAAGCTGATTTTGACACTATGTAACTTCCGTGATAACGTAATTTCCGTGATCAAAACACCCACTAAAACGTATGGGAATACCTTATGGCTCATGTTTTGAGGAAGATAGTACAAGGTCTTTATTAAAAATACCATTGCCATAACTCTAGTATCATCCAGGACCCCAATAATCAGAAAAACTTAATTGGATATTTCTCACTTTCGGCAAATCAGAGACGCCAAAACTACCCCGAAACGTGAGAATCAGTCACCTTTCTTTTTCTTTTTTGGCCCGTCCCGTTCATTTTTTGTAAAAAAAATGACGGAGGGACGGGCATATAGTATGATCCCTGCTGTGCGTCCGTCCGTCCGTCCGTCCGTCCGTCCGTCCGTCCGTCCGCCCGTTCGTCCGAGGACTTCCCGTGGTCCGATCTTGGCCAAATTTGGTATGCAGCCTCCTTGGGTGACCCTAAGAACCGCCCGGTGGCAGCAAATCCGATCCGAGCCCCGGGGACGCTGCTGCAGGTGCATCATGGTCTACATGGGGTCGAGAAGGATCTCGGCAACGGATACAGCTAGCAGGGCATGTAGGGGTATTTTTGGAATCGGGGCGACGAGAAAAAACCAATGGTGCCAGTTTCGAGAGAATCGGAGAAGTTCGGACCCGGGTTCAAATCCCAGCGGGGTATTTTTTGAACATTCTTTTTATTCGAGTTTTTGCATTGTTTCTGACGTTTTTGAGGGTGCTGATGACGAAAACGACATTTATTTTAACCCCAGACTCAGGTTTAATTCCCGTCAGGGTCAAACATGGGCGAAATTCGTACGTATCTTACTGTACGGGACGGGCCAAAGTTGCCGATGTAAATCGCTACTTTTCCTATTATTTATGACTAGAAAGAAGAATCACAAGCCAGAACTAAAAAAACAACTTTTACCCTAAAAGAATCAGGAAGCGACATTTTTCCGCTAAATTAGTCAAATTTAGAAAAATGTAAATATCTCAGGTTCTAATTGAGCTAGCCAACTTTCCTTTAAGGGTTGAAAGGTACTAGTGGTACCTATTGAACCCACAAAGTTTGAACCGAATCCGTGACCCAATCCCAGATCTCGGTCCACCTTGGGGTGGAGTTACTCAGTAGTCGATTTGATGTCTTGTTCCGCAAAGTTCTAAGCTGGAATTTGATCTGACCCCTTTCCTGAGCGCTCAGACTTACTCAAACAATTACTTTGATACATACCAATCGATGCTGGGCATAGGAGTAACAGTTTTGAGGGTGGTGAAGGAGTGGGACTGCAACAGGACCATCGTAGGCTGGGCGAAGAGTGAAAAAAGTGCACTTTTTGGGCACATTTCATCACGGTTTCCCCTGCAAATACTGCAAAACTCAAATACTTTTTGAAGCACTTTAGGACATTAAAGTAGACACCTTAGGAGACCTTTTGGTGAAAAATTTATTTTTTTTTCAGGATGACGTATTTTGGAAACGACATTTTCAAGTTAAACATTTAATCGAAAAAGACATTTATTTGAGTTTTTGCCCTATCAACCTAAGAGTACCTCATTTTGATGCAAAATTTCATTCCCTTTCCAATGAGCACAGAATCAGACCTGTAAGTCCAATAGGAGCTGAGATAATGGCACTTAAGTGAAACACTGTTTTGTAACTTGGAAATGGCCGAAAATGGTGAAGTGCTATATCTCCGGAACTATTGGCTATTGGCCAAAACCATTTTAGGGGGTCATTCTAGACACTAATTGGTGGCCCCTGGGTGAGGCGCCCATGGGCGATCATGGCCGGTCCCTGGGAAATTGAAAGCGGATATCTATGGACAGTCCATGGACGGCCCATGGACGGCCCATGGAGGGTCCACACTGGCTGCATATTGGCTCTGGCAAAGTCGTCCCACTATTAAGCAGCATCTTCCAAGTCAAAATAACATGGGGCTCTACATGAACTTTTCGCGCTTCACTCAATTCTAAATTCAGATTTTGTTCGGACTGACGGTTCAAAAGTTAAAAGGACTTTGTGAAAATTACTTGGAGACTTAGATGCACGAGGAAGTCATTGTCATTGGCCGTCCATGGACCGTCTGAGGATGACCTTGGTTGTCCATTGTAATGGATGACCCATGGGCCAACCATGGATTGTCCATGGCCTGTCCACGGATCGACCATGGTCACCCCTTCACGACCATAGGCACCATGGATTCACCATGGGTGTCTAAGGTTGCAGTATGGACGGACCATTGGTCGCCCATGGGCGCCTCACCCAGGGGCGATTCACCAATTTTGGTTGAAATCGGACGACGTCAGGTTTATGAGTGTTCAAGTTGGCGTGGAATTACCCACCTGTAACTTGAATACTTTGGAAGTTGTGAGGACAAGAAAATATGGCTGTTTTTGCTAAGGTTAGGTTAGGGTAGTCCAATCATGGATCACCCCACCTGCGTCTGGACACTGAGCAAGGTATGCATTCAGTAGTCCCAAAATATCAAAGTAGTCTGTCTTAAGTGCACGTGCACGATGAAAAATTTCAAAGTGACTGCGGTGATTCCTTGGCCCAGAATCAGGGGTGCAAAAATCCCTTTTTTGAACGTCATTTTCCCATCGATTTTCGGGGGCGTTTTAGGTGTCTTTCAAAACGCAACCCTGCAGAGTAGAGAAAGGCAGTTGCAAACTTGTCTGCTTCACATCTAACAGTCAAAGGGTCAGTCCAAGCAAGGAAAGACAGAAATTTAGAATCTGGTCACCTGTTCTTAAGATATAGACCCACAAACAGAAATGATCAATGTTCAGTACCCCGATCCATGTTCGCCACTTTACCTACGGGTCATTCTACAGAAATGTTACAATTTCGCAGTTAGAACCGTGAAAAAATAAAAGTTGTCCGATTTCATTCATATAGGGCTTGTTTTTCTTGTTTCGGCATGCATAATGCGAAACGATATCAAGCGTCACACTTTTCGAGAAAAAAAATTTTCTCCACTGAAATCATAGGGGAAATGTCTACGGAGTTTACATAAATTGACGCCTACGGAGTTTACATTTTGAAGCAAATACCTGGATTGCAGCCGTATGAGTTGGAACAGTAGAACGCGCATACACAGCTGACTAAAGGACCACCAAAGCATTGTTTTTATCCACAATTCGAAAGTTTGACGCACAGGGGATCCGTGGCACAAATCGGGTACGGAGTTTTACATACAAAAAAAATACGCGACCCCCCTTTTTGAAATTTTGGGTACCAATTAGATGCTAGCCATTGGACTCATATCCTTCAAACTTGGTGGCTAGATGTGTTTTTTCATCCGGAATCCATTGCAGTCTTCAGATTGAGGCTGCGACTTCCCGTTTGTCTCCTGTAGTGCCAAACTCGTTACAGTGCACATGTGGATTTTAGGGAAGTAAAAACTTCGGGACAAAAGTTAATTCTGTGCAGGCACAAAGCTTCAAACTTTTTACTACAGTCAGTGGGATTAAGTTAAAGTATAAAAGTGCCTTAGCAAATAGAGCCGTCGGGAATGATTGTCCTGCGTCTGGTTTAAACATACGAGAGGCGCAAACTTAGTGACCTACGCATCGGGACAGCCACGGAGTTTACATTTTGCACCTTCCGGAGGCCACAGCCATCTGAAAACCTCAGAAACTTTCAAACCCAATAGTGGATCTTTTGAAGCACAAAAAGCACCATCTCACCGCGCAAACCGCGTCTTTCTAGGACGAACCGTTTCGTCACAAAGGGGCAGGGACATCAAATTGTAACATTTCTGTAGAATGACCCCTACGCATTGCACGGGATTCGGTTTTATGACTTTCAGACCGTAGTTAAATTATACAAAGAGCGTTGACCCATTTAAGGGGCCATGGTCACAGACCAGGGGAAATAACTCCGGCTAAATTTGTACGGTACACCTAAATTCAGCAAACATGTAAAACTCATTGAAATTCGTCAAAATTTATAGAAATTCACTGATATTCTTCTAAAAATTCATTTGTTTTTGCCTGAAATTCATCAAATTTCAACTGAAATTCATTCGATTTGTACGCTGAAATCCAAAGTGATTTCCTTTTAATCACGAATGTAACAGAGCGATTAGCACGTTTCGAGGTAGTTTTGACGATCCTGGTTAGCTGAAAGTAGGTGACATCAAATTCAGTTTTTCTAGTTACTGAGGTCTGGGATGGGTGGTGGGTGGGGGAAGGGGAAAAGAGAAAGGACAACGGGGAAAGAGGAAAGGAGGAGAAGAATAGGAAAGCCTAGTTCGTGGGCGACTAAGGAGCCCAGATTCTGGGCACCTTTGGCATCTTAGGCGCTGCTGAGCCATGAGCTAAAGCAGCAGGGATCCTTAACTTACCTCATAAGGGCATCATAACGTTATCGTAAGAGTTAAAGTTATTAACCTTAACTTCTGACATCCTTTCAAAAAGGGTAAGTTATTTTTTTGTTTTGAATTTGTGTAGAGATACTTTTGGAAGTACTTCCAAAAGTCCGTACCCTTAACCTTTAGCGAACATTGTCTTATGTTACGTTATGAAAGCAGTGTTAGTTAAATGTTAAGTTAAGTTAAGGATCTCTGTAAAGCAGGTTCCTTTACGGTTTGTCCACCCCAAGACTGGACGACAAAGGCGCCCAGTTTCTGGGCACTCCATATTTAGAGTGTACCGACAATATTAACCGAATTAGCATGGTCATCCTGTATCCAATTCTTTTGACGGTGCTGGCAGCGAAGGCTTCGTAATTTTCAGGGAGAGGTTTCCGTCTATAAGTCACACGCGCTTCACGAGCCGGGAGTGCGGTGCGGCCAGCGCTGGAGCGCCGCATCTTTAGAGGTAGGGGCATTCCAGAGCCGATTGACAGCCATGAATTGGACTGCGCCAACACCAACTCTATTCAATAATTATGAGAAAATTGAAAAATTTCAAACTGCGCATGCGCTTAATTCAAACTAACCAATAGAAAAGACTCCCGGTCAAACCTTAGTGAACAGAACAGGGAACACATTTCTGGTCCCTTGGCTGACAAAATAAAGGAACAGTAAACTATGATGCGTGATATTCCAAAGAGCGTACATTGTATGCTCTAACTGGAGCATGCCTGCAAGCACGCTCTAGCTAGCGCATGCCTGCCAAGCTTGCACCCACTAGTGCATACACTGTTAAAAAATGGTTGTACAGAAACAATCAGATGAGTGAAAATTTAGTCGTTCCAAAACTTAGAATTTTATCATGAACCAAAGCGAAACAAATGTCGTTGACTCATGTCAGCGACAATTTGTCGTTGAAGAACAATATTCTTGTTATCACCCTTAACGATACAATTTGTGTGGAAACAACATCTTTTGCAATTATCTGCTCAATTAAAGAGAATTATGAAAATTCATCTATTTTGTTCGCAAATCTTTTTCGACTTACAATACTTGTTGATGACTTACAACATGGTCGACGACTTGTTTTTGAAAGTGGACTGTTGATGTGTTATTACAAGTTAGTCGTTGTAAAATTATCCTTTAGTTCCTGTACGACTATGGTTTAACAAGCTATTCGTTCCACAACAAATCTTGTCGTTAAAAAAATTAGCGACAAATGTGTCGCTAAGTTACTACAAAATTTTTATCAGTGTACATAACATGTACACGCTTCCTGATGCAGGCAACCCCATATCCCTTGTGCACTAGATACATGAGTTAGCGTGTACATGGCATGTATGCCCTAGTAAGTGCATGCTTGGCAGGCAAACGCTAGCTAGAGCGTGCTTGCAGGCATGCTCCACTTGGAGCATACAACGTACGCTCATCGAAGACACTCTTTTACTAATAGAGTGGGAAAAAAACGTTCGTCTGGATGACTTTTGGGTAAACCTCATTTCAGGCGCCGGCCGAGATCTCCCTGATCTCCTAAGGCTTGTTAAGAAGATCCTTGTTCCGACTCACGGTAATGGCAGTAGGGAGCGGGGTTTCTCCGTGAACAAAGAGTGCGTCAGTGAAAATCTGAAGGAGCTTACAAGGGAAGTGCCTCAGGTGTTATATCCAGATTGTGACTACATTTTGAGAATCTCTTCCTCTATAACAATACACCAATGGTCCACATAAAAGCTGCTGCTGAGATATATTTAAACAATTATTCAAGTTAGGTCCAAATTTTCAACAACACTGAAAACAAAAATTTTGTGTCAACAGGTGCACGTCCTTCCTTCACCTCATGTAGCGAAACAGAAAAGCCGCGCGCAGCAATTTAAGTGTCAGCTATCCACAGTGGTTTAAAATGTGATTTTCGGGGGAATAAGTCCTAGCAAGCGTCCCGTGCGACCAAATGCTACCAGAATTGAACTGAATCATCGGTAGGCAATAGGCAAAGACTGGTTCAAAGGAACAGGCGGTCCGATAAAAATTGGATTTATAATGCTGAAATAATGAGAAAAATAGAAAAATTAGAAGAAAAATGACAGTACTGACAAAAAAAGCAAAACCAAAAAATGCTCAAAATACTTAGTTTTAACTTCTGAGCCGCATTAAATCATTTTGTTACTAAGAAAAACAAAATAATTGAAAAGAAAAACAATCCCGCTTATGTTTTTTCATTTTGAATGGTGTACACCAGAAGCGAATAGCCCCAAAACTAGTCAATTTGGCACGTTTTTGTAGTGTTGATCCCCTTGCGTTTCGTGTTGCGGACGAGTGCGGAAAAGTTATCATCGGGTCATCTTATTATACATGTAAGGGAAGCGCCTCGCACCAATAACTCCGCCCCATCGGGCCCCATCGATGTCCGAAACTCCAAAAGTGTGTTTTTTAATGTTTTGAACGCATTTGTAGCAAAAACCCGCCACCGTGAGCTAAACCGCGAACGAAATGTTGCGCTGTGTGCTGCTATCCTTTGATTGGCTGAGCGATAGCGAAGCCTGTTACTCCGGTGGGGTTGAAAAATTTTTCCTGTCTGTCTGTCCGTCTGTCTGTCTGTCTGTGTGTGTGTGTGTGTGTGTGTGTGTGTCCGCACTACTCCTCCTGAACGGCTCGGCCGATCTCGGTGAGATTTGGCACACTTTTTGGGTATGTCCTTGGCTCGGCACACGCGAAGTTTCACCATCCTAGCTTGACTGGTTTGGTTTTTACAGCCGAAAAACACTTAAAAAAGGGCGAAAAATCGAGTTTTCTGTAGGCAGATCGCCTCTGTCCTGAAGAAACGAATGTGACACAATGCTTGAAGGAACGTGACATTTTGTCACATTTGTTTGAACGTGATGTAACGTTCCTGGAATGAGAGTGAATATTTCAGTTCTTTGTTGCAGCAGTGTCTCTGCGTTTTGAAGCCGTTCATGTGCATTTATTTCAATGCGTGTCCGCAGGTCACGTGGAGTCGTCGGGATAGATCCGTTCGTCAAACGACATTGAGCCTCTTCGGGACGCAGTCTCTGAACCTGCAGGGATGCGTGGTTGTCGTAGCACCAATGTGGGACCCACCTTTCGTCTACGCTCATGACAGAAATGGAACAGGTACTACCGTAAACCGGGGCAACTTGAGACAATATTTCACGGTTTTCGGACCGTGTGTCTACAAAACTTCTATCTGCAACTTAGCTAAGTTTAATTTCACATGACTACATGAATTTTTGGAGGTCACCTAAAATGAGAGTCATGGGCCTCTAAAGTTGTCTCAAGTTACCCCAAATAACGGGGTAACTTGAGACACACGTCTTTTTACTTTGCGTTTCAATGGAAGTGGGGGTTTCGCCGGTCCATTCTCATTATCTGAGACATTTATCTCATTTTCAATAAAAAGTACCACTTGTGGAATATGTTAAAAGATTTTTGAAGCTTATATTAAGATTTTTTCATTGAAGTTACATTTGTGAGTTTCAGGGATAACGGCTTAAGAAGCACAACGATTCTCCCATTTCACATCCAACCCTGTCACCTAAGCACAACGATTCTCTCATTTCACATCCAGCCCTGACATCTGTTAAGACATTTTTCACATGTACCCAAATCCATTCCTGCAAAGGTATAGTCAATTTTTAAAATTTATTCAAAATCCTTATTTTTTTCCCCCCGTAGTTTTTCTTTAAAAATCGACGGTTCTTGGGCTGAAAGTTGTCCGATTTCAATGACATTTAGCTCGTTGAATAGGTAATTAAATTCCCCATCTTTTGAGATATCAAGATTTGTTATATCGTAGTATCACGGAGAATACTGTAAGAGCCTACGGAGAATATTGATAAGAGGGCTAGGAAGAATCCTGGCAAAAAAATTAACAGAATTTTCCGTACCTTTTTGCCGTAGTGCAGTGTCAAGTTACACCACTCAACTTCGGTCAAATTCAATGAAATTTGGTGTTTCAAGTTACCCCGTACAGTTACCATTTTCTTTAAGAGAGTATTATCCGATGAATGAAGGGTCTCCCTCAAAACCAATCACGGCAAAAGTACCGCCTGGGATTCCCAGGCGGTGCCTGGAAAATAGGCCCTTTTCCCCATGATGCGCCTGGGAATCCCAGGCGGTACTTTTGCCGTGAATGCCACATTTAGAATGGTGAAATAATAGGGTTAAAAGGTACTACAGTCATTTGGGTCTGAACAAGACGTGTTTCGAGTACCGAGGGAGACTTGTAACACTCCTCTAAAATTGTTAAATTTAATAAAATTGAAAAATCGTTATAGAACTGACCAGCTTGGTCCTAACTCCCCGTTCAAACGCTTAATTCTCTTCCCAAGCAAGTATGATAAAAAGTGCTAGGGCAATTTTGATCTCCGAATGTGCCGAGCTAGGTGGCAGCCCCAAAAAAGTGGAAAAGCAAAAGTGTCTCAAGTTACCTCGGTTTATAGTACTGCAGGAAATACAGAAGCGTAATCAAGGAATTACTTTTATTACGAAGGTTCTCTGTTTCACGAAGGTTCCCTGTAAATTTACGGAGGATGTTCGTAGATTTATGAAGGTGCTTCGTAAATTTCCATTGAAATTATAAAATCGACAGAGGTCGTTCAAAAGTTTACGAAGGTTTCTCTAAATATATAAACAGCTTCGTAAATTTTTTTGCCGAATGATCCGTCGTTCATCCCGAACATTAATTTTTACAGTGTACCCTTAAACGTTGGCCCACCCTGCTGAGTAATGATTGTATCTTCATTTCGGCAGCTGCAGGTCTGGATTTACACTTCGTAAACTTCTTTTCGTACGCCGCGAACTGTTCTCTGCATGTTCTTCCTGTGAACAAAGTTGCCACGAATCTGCGTTACCCGTATGGGGACAACCAGGTTTTTACGGTGAGCAGAAATGAGTGGTCGGTTATTCCGTATCGACGGAGCACAAATTGTTTTTTTGATGCCAGCATTTTCTATTTTTTTTTAAATATGCTAAGGGCAGAAGAATAGCCCCTTAGGTTTTTATCCTTGCTGAGCTGATTCAGAAATGTGCACGTGGCCTGCAGCCCGTTTATAAATACTAACGATCAGATGTTTTTCTATTTGTGTGTGTGTGTGTGTGTGTGTGTGTGTGTGAAAATAACATTTGGTATGACACAAGTTCTGAAATATCAAATTGTGCCCAAGAAACAGCGGTCCCATTTTCGCCCGGTGTCCCAAATGAGCCAAGCTGATTCTTGCCTCGTTCTAGATGAGAAATCGTCGTGCGGCTGGCGAGCCTCGCCCAGTGCAGACGCTGGCACACGGTGGCGCCGACCTCGTCGTGGGGGGCGTGTACCCCACTGTAGACAGGGCTCGCTTCTTCGCCATTAGCGACGGCTACATCGACGACACGATACAGTGCTACGTGGTGCCAGAACACCGCATCCCTCGCTGGAAGTACCCCTACGCCGTGTTGCAGCCCAAGGTGTGGCTGTGCCTCGTCATGGCGATGGTGGCGCTAGGTAACGCTTCAAGGCATCACAAAGCAGGAGCACCGAGCAACATAGACTGAGGGAAAGTAAGGTCAGGGACGCGCGAAAGAAACCTATTTCACTTATTCAGACGATCTAGTCGCGTATCTATCCCGGCCGTTACTAAGAACAACGATTTGGACACATGTGCATGACGTCACGGGGCGTGGAGGAGTCATCAAAATCGTGACCATTTGTGACTATGGATGAATGCTATAGAGGGGAAGGGGTCGAACAACGAGCCCGAAAAGAGTGACGTCAAATTTGAACGGCCCCTTATTGAAACCTTTTGAGAAATGAATCGAATTAGTCATAAATCGAATGAGGTGAAAGTTGTTGGATCTAATGGAGCCACACTAGAAACCTAACTGTCTACGAAGCACACACTTCCAAATGCTTCACAATTGCAGTCTTACAAATGCATATTCGTAGCATGGAGTTACACGGCGCCAAGCATACAGTTGTGTTTGCCATGTATGCTTGAAGTGTAAGGGAGGGTGGGGCACATACTAGCATACTGAAGGGCGTAGTGTCGTCCTCTTCAAGCGTAGTTCTAAGAATGAAGCGTAAAACTGCGCCTAAGTTTTACCAGTGCATGCGTTTGTTAGTGTACTTGCAGGCATGGATTTGTAAGTGAGTATTCTTAGTGGACAGTTCAGTTTGTAGTGCATGGGATTTTTTTTTGTTTTTTGGACCGGCATTTTTTTTTAGTAGGAAATTGAGAGAGCGCGTATGTAACCTTGTGTCTGCAGTAGCCGTGCTGTCACTGGGGAACGAGCAGGGCGTGATGGCCAACGCCATGACGGTTCTCGGCGTGCTCACGGAAGGCAGTTGGGCTTCGCGTTCGAGTCAGTCGCGGCAATGCTCCGCTCTCATCGTACTCTGGGTGGTGTTCACCATGCACTTCAACTCCGGCTACCGCGCTGTGCTGTCCACGGCCAACGTAGGCCGTTTGGTGACTCGAGGATTTTCGTCGTTAGAGGAAGTGAAGGTGAGTTTCAAGAAATGATAAAAAAATAAACTCTTGTCTGGCCAGTGGCCACTACCAACCCCTATTACTGATACTCTTTTTCATGCCTATGACGATTGGCTTGTCTTTGGTCTATGGGTAGACAGTCTTGATTGCTTTCAGTGAGTTAGTGATGATACTGACGTGTTTGAAATAGAAATTTTATACGGTTGAAGAACAGGGATCCATAACGTATTATTACCTTGAACTGTTAAACACAGCTAACATTTCATCATTGGCATAAGATCATGTTCACCAATGGTGAAGGGTATGGACTGTCAAAAGTATATCAATAACGAACTCAGACTACAGACTACAACTGAAATACTTACGATAACTCTACGATGCTCTTTTTCAAGGTGAATTAAGGATCCCTGGTGATAAGCTTGCAATTAAAAGCCTGTACACGGAGGCGAGGTTTGACTCCTTCCTCACCTACAAGCACCTGGGACCAAAGAATCTTTCAAATTCAAACATAATTTTTCAATTCCCTTGCTGAGAAATGACGAGCAGTCATAATATACTGAGTTAATTCTCAGTACTTTACGACACAAATCTGTCATGATACAGAAAAACTTGTTAGTAATATGAAGAAATTGGTCATAACTTCTGGGAACTATTCACCGTAGATTACTACTTTCGCTGCGCAGTCATAATACTGAGATTTCTTTTCGTATTGCGAAGAAAAAGCTCAGTAGGATATTGTGAGAGTAAGGTAAGAAGCAAATCACCATGAAAACCAATTGTTTCTTCATCCAGGAATCGGCTGCGCGTGTTCTCAAGTTGTCGGCGATTCTCGCAAACCAAGTCGAAGAAATACTCGGTCCTGTTGAAATATGCGGAAATCTTGACAACTGTTCCAGAATAGTTCGTATGAATCAGGACAGGTAAGAATTGAAATTGAAACGCGATTAGGGATACTTGACATTAATTACATTTGACTTACTGCGTTCCCGCCCATTTTTCCCAAAACCAGATTCCCAAAAAATTAAGTCCCAAAATATAAAAGTTCCAAAGTGGACATTTCCAATTTGTGTTTTGCCAAAGTCTTATTTGTTCCAAAAGATCTATTTCCCAATATTTATTTTCCCTCCGAATCAACTGATTTCCAAAGGGCGGTGGAATTGTTGCATGGTTGGTACCATAAATGTCTTACGAAGAAATTTCCCATAATACGAAGAAAATGGCGCAAGCATAATACGAAGGTGTTTTTTCTTCGTATTACGAAGGTTTTTCTTTGTATCTTACAATGAAAAAGCAGAAAAGATTCGTATTACGAAGAAATATTGCTTCGTATTATGCTTGCGCCGAATCCACTGTAACATACGAATAACATAGGTCAAATTTCATTGTAAGACATTTAGAGTGTACCTCTGCCTTCGCAGTACTTTCGATTGTTAGTCGCGGGCCAGAACAAACTGGTGGCGGGTTGGCTGAGATGGACGCCGAAATTTTGACAAATCGAAAGGGGGGGACACAATTACTGTACAAGGGACACATATTTTACCGAAAGGACGTGAAGAAGGGGAGGACTTACTGGATCTGCATAAGGAAGAAGGAGTGCAGGGCACCCTTCGCTGTTCTCCTGCCTCAGCGAACTGAAGAAGGAGCAGGGGGACACGGAGACCATCCTCATGGAGGTCAGGATGGGAAGGAAGGTGAAGCTGGCCCCGAAGAAGAAGTGGCGTGACCTTCAAACCCGCATCCGCACCATCGTTGGAGACTACCAGACCTGCAAGGATGAGCACCGAGTCCTGGACTACCTCCGAACCCTGGGCCACCACTTCCAGCTATAAATTGTTTTTTTTTCCTTTGGGAATTTATTTTGAACTTCAATACATTTGGAAAATTTGGAAAATAGGAATGAATATTTTGGACAACTTTTTTTTGGGCATTACAGTTTTAGGGAAAAATTTCTGTTGGGAAAAAAGGATTGGGAAAAATGACCGTGAACCGACTTACTGATGTCGTAATATGTATGCATACTCTGCAAACTCAACAGTGTGTGTGCTCAGCACTGGTGAAACAAAGGCATGAAAATTACGCCCTTTAGGGCAAAAATACTCTGTTACGTCTTTCAAGGGCGTAAATCGTGTTATGGGAAGTTGCCAAAATTGTGGGTCCTTTTGGCTCCTGAAAAAAATAAGAAAAATATCTTGTTCTAATTTTTTTCACCATTTTTCCTGTATTCTTGGGGTCATTCTAAACACGTTTCCGATGGAGACCAGGATTTTCTCGCACTTTAATTTTCCCCTATACTTTACATGGGGGAAGGGCACGGAAGTTACCGAAAATGAGCATGGCACGGAAGTTACATCAACAAACCAGGGGGCAGCAACGGCCTAGGAAGCGCGTGAAGCCATGCGCAAGGGAGGTGCAGGGGTTACTTATTTTGCTTCGATTGGAAGATCTAGCTCGTTGATTGCAAAACGCTTTGCGCAGATCAAAAGAGCACCAAAATTAAGGTGCATTAGGCCGAGTCGACTGCCCAATACTACCAATTCAACCAAACTTAAGGGCGGAATCATTTACATCATTATGGCGCATTCGAGTTTTTCCTGAATTTTATGATTTCTCGTGTTTTTTGGTGTTTTTACTGCACCTTAACATAAAGTCAGGGGAGAGTTTCGAGAAGAGCAATTAGCCTATTGCACCCTCAATTTCAAGCCCTTTCCATCGGTGCAAAGCGTTTTGAAAAACACTGTCTAGTTTTCATGATCTGGAACAAGTGCGCAACCTCTCTGCACTGACGGCGCGAGCATCGCTTCACGCTCTCCCTAGGCCGTTGCCAACCCCTGATCAAACAAACCGTGAAAACAGACCAACCCGTTCACTAAATCGCACAGGTGTCTCGCCTAAAGTTGAAAAGACGTGAAAGCTCAAAATGGCCAGGTGGACCGAAATCGATAGGCCGAGTAGCACGCTTGCTATTGATGACACGGAATGTTACACACAAACCTGCCACATACCGGATTTTTACGTTTGATGGTCCAGCCAGCCGGAATGGAGCCCTCCAGCGAAAATCCGCCTACCGTGCCGGAAAGAGGAAACCGTGCTGCTCATTCTAGACGCTGAGCCGAACTTTTCTCGCTACAGGTTCGGCGCTGAGGCGCGAAACTAAAGTTGACGATGTATGAAAACCAGTACACGGTTGACATTTTTTCATCCAATAAAGCAGGAGGTGTGAGTCACTGGAATAAATTGCTGTTCAAGGGTGTCATAAAAGATTGCCAACGGAACAAAAGGCAGTTCGTGGATTTGCTCTCCGACAAATAGTTCAGGAGATTTTCGCCCCGAAACACGGACTTTTAGCCTGTTTTGACAGGGAAATGCTTGAACTGCATGTTCAGTTAGTGTGTGGCATATCAGGGGAGATGTAGCCCACACTGTGCGAAAAAACCACAGTGAATCCCGTTAATTTTCATGCCGGGATTTACTGTGGTTCAGAACACAGGATTTACTGTGCCTGGCTACAGTATTTACTGTACCTGGTACAGGATATTCCGTACTCCACTCCTGTGATACAGTAAATCCCGTACAAAGTACAGTAGATCATGTAAAAAAGTACAGTAAATCCTGTACTCTGAACTACAGTCACAGCTGTACTAATCACTACAGGATTTCCTGTGATTTTTTCCCACAGTGCAGTCATGGGAATCAAACCGCAGGTCGATACGTCGAAAAATAAGGAAACTGTGGCCCAAAGACACAAAAGGACCGACAATTTTGGCAACTTCCCTTATGCCCTTGGGATGGGCATGAGGCATAGGACTTAGTAGCAAAATTTTAATGTCCTTCCAAATGGCATTAACGATTCAGGCCGCTCCAGGGGCTTAAATCGTTCACGCCCTTAAAGGGCATAATTTTAATGCCTTTGTTTCACCAGTGAGTACACTCTATTTGACGTGTACTCACCAGTTTACTCCTGCGAGAGTGTGCTTAGCTGAGTACACTTTAACGAAAGTGCGCTTAGCTGAGAACACTCCAACGAGTGTACTTGGCTTAGTATACACTGTCAGAAATTTTGTCGTAAATTAGCGACAAAAACGTCGCTTATTTTGATAGCGACAGAAATCGTTCTGAAACTACTTGGTCGTACCGTAGAACGGGGTAATATGAGACAAATTTCGAGGTTTTTCGTGGATTTCCCCCTTTTAATTTCATTTTGAGGTACTGAGGTGTTCATCACTTGTTCATTGACCCTTTGGCTACTCTCCCACCAAATTTCAGATTTTTAGGTGCAGTAGGGACCTTTCAATTACTCTCGGAATGCCGTCCCATATTTCCCTGCAATGTGGGGTAACATGAGACAAAAGAAAGAAATGTTAAAGAAGTATGGATAATTAAATCATTTAGGCGGGTTTGGAGCTTTTTAAGTTCTTTTCATTCATTTTAAAGATGATTGGAACCTATAATGGAGACGATATAAAATCTGGAGGGGAGAAAGATGGGTGTCACTAAAGAGAGCTCAAAAATGTATAAGAAGTCATGAGTTGTGCCTGTCACATGAAAATACTAAACGAAGAGCTTAGATGCCGGTCAGGTAGTAAAACAAATTCGTGTTAAAATCATTATTACTTGAAATTATTAACAGTGGAGTATGTTTGGCCTCATATTTCAAGCGAAAAGAGGTGTCTATATTTTCCCTGCAAGGTAACAAAATTGTATTCCATCTGGAACAGGCAGCCCGAGAGTAGACATGACGGAACCAAATTTTGTCCTGATTATGTTGACATAATTGCCTACAGATTTAAACCTCGTTCGGACGAGAACCCAAGTTCTAACCGAGGTTTCTGGGGAGGTTTTTACGAACTTTATGAAACTTGTTAAAATTAAGAGTTTTTACCTTTGGTTCTAAATAGCCCTGGCGAGTCTCTGATAGCCTCCGTGCGTTTTCTGTGAGCTGCCACGGCCTCCTAGATCACGACAAACAAGAAGTAAAGAAAAAAAGTTTAAAGGAATGGTGCGAAATATCAATGAATTGATATTAAATAAATGACTCGTTCTTTACACATTTTTTTGTGAATGAAGGATCTCTAGTGGTTATCAAAAGTGGCCAGGTGGTTGAATAATTGTTAAGCTCGAAATGAAAGTACGTTCAAAATGTACCGCCATTACAGTAGTTCGTTTGAAATCCGCGTGGTGGCGCCACGGGTCGCCGATGTTAGCGGCAGGCCGTCCAAAGGAAGGTTGAAAAACTGCAGATATTTTAAATGTTTGTTTGCTAAGAGAGATAATCCTCAAATGAAAAATGTTAAACAAAGCACAGGGAGATGGATTTTTGCTATGGCACATGCAAAGTCGATATGAATCACGAAAAAACGAAGTGTTATAACCTCTCATTTCTAGACACCAGCCAGTTTTAATAAACATTTTCAATCTTCATTTGCTCAAAAACTTTCATAGTGAAATGAAAAATACTTCATTTACGCCTTAAAGATGAGGCTTTGATCTTTCAAATGAGTACATTACATATGGTTTTCCTTGTGTGCATAGCGAGTTGAATCATGTAGCTAACAAAAACCGATTTTGAGCACAATACTCGTTCTCTTCACATTAACCTAAATTTTGAAATGAGGGTGTAAAGAACGAGTAAAAATTCACGGTAGTCTTCTGAACAACCGCTAGAGAGCAACACGACAAAAACCGAAAAAAGTGCGCTCTGTCTCGATTTTCCTTCATGTCTCATATTACCCTGTTCTACGGTAACTGAACGACAAAATTATCATTTCTCTACGACAATGTCGTAATCGCGATTACATATTTTGAAATCTGAAATCCCCGAAAAGTTGATGAAAAGTTGCAATTTTGCTCGCTTATTTACGATTTGTGTCGTTCATTTACGATTCATTACACAAATTTACGACAAGATTCGTAAATGTACGACTGAAGTCATAACTGCACGACATACTCAATAGATAAATTACGATCGTTCGTAAGCTTACGATTAAGTTGTAAATTTACGACTTAATTCGTTTCAAAACGGAACGTCTCGCTATCAAAATTAGCGACAAATATGTCGTAAATTTACGACTCAAGTCGTATATTTACGACTTGAGTCGTAACAAAATATGTCGTTTTAAAACGACATAATTGTTCTACAAAATGTCGTAAATTTACGACTATTTTTAACTGTGTAAAGACCCCAGTTCCCATGAAAATATACGCAGCTGAGTACACGTTCGTGGGAGTGTACTCGTAAGTACACGCTGTAGAGAGTGTACTCGTGTACTCATGGGTACAAGTTATTTACAAGAAACTATGATCGCAATCGAATTCGCGAGACTTTGGCTCACGTCGGGTAGTAAGATACTGTCCGACACTTGAATCTTGCAGTGAGGGTGCGAATTTCTACGAAGTAATACCCGCTGCCTCGTTGATCCTCACTCTCCCATTCTTCCTGACTCTAGTTGTCCAAATTGAATTGTCAGTTTCTTACAGCCCGTTTTTGACTTCGCAGCTCAGCCATGGTCGTTAGTAGTCGCAACATGTGGTTTATGAGTCCCGAGTACTTCCTGGACGAGCGCCAACGCCCTTTGGTGAAACCACTCCCAGAGACATTGTACACGTTCTACATGGGTGCCTTGCTGGAACGCGACTCTCCACTGCTCCCTGTTGTCAACCACGTCGTGGCCGCCATCCGAGGAGGGGGCTTTTACAGGGCGTGGCTGTCGAGAATGGACGCAATGGTCCAGCGACAGGTGAGTAATCAACCTCACATCGACGCGTCCTCATAGAATAATCCTAACCGTCAGAGCTGATCCAAGACAATCCTAACTGCCAGCCCGGGTGGAAGGATCTGCAGTTAAAGTGTAGTTTGAACTCAGTGGAAAAACTGCAGTATTGGAACAGTACTATGGATTCAAAAGTAACTGCAAAAGTATTAGAGTTGAAAACTTCTATTTATGTGCATTTATCACTGACTTTTAACTAATAATAAATTGCTCTCCTGGTCTTCAGCCTTATTACAGAGCGCCTCTACAGAAAGATTTCAGTTTTGACTTAGTTTAAATTATAGTCACTACAATAGATAAGAAGTACAGAAGTAAGTGCAGTTGATGACTAGTTCTTAGGCAGTTAGACTGCATGGTAGTGTCGTGGTTAGAGAGTGCAGAAGAATCTGAAGAAAAACTGCAGTTTTAACTGAGTTTCCCTGCTAATGCCAGCGCACCAGGCCTTATTATGTGATCACGTTGGGTGGATGGTCTTCCCAGGCAGGTGGCGTAGACCAGTGGATAAGGCACTTGGTCCGCAACCAAAAGATGCGAGGTTCGATTCCCCGCACAGTATCTGATTTCATCACCAGACGAGAAAGAAGTTGACCATGAAAAGTCGAAGGGGGCAACAGAATGCAACAGAAGTAGGAAAATTGAACGTTCAAATTCATTTTTTAAACACGTACTTTTAACACTACACTTTAACTGCATTCGTTTCTTCACTGCAAATCAGAGAATCTCGATATATCTGAAATACAATATCCATCTCCTCTGACAGGATTGTCTTGGATCTACTCTGGCAGTTAGGATTATTCCAATAGGACGCGTCGACATCCTATTAATCAGTACTTGCTTGCATAATGTAAAATAAATTCTCTTTACAATTTGGAACCTTTTTCTTGTTGCAAGGAAAACTTGGGAGGAACGACAGAAAAATGATAAAGACATTCATTCTTAAAGTCGTTTAGGCAATTTTTTTTTACCATTCAACGTTTTTATTTCTTATCTGAACCTATAATATTTGTTGACCTTTTGTATGTCTGAGTCATTATGACGAATCAATTTCTGCAAAGTTAAGACCTCAACTTGGGCCACTTTGAAAATTCACTCCAACCTTGAATACATAGCCATGGTGCGAATCGGTAAGAGGCATTTTTTAAAGAAGTCCGATCGTTGCGTCCTAGGATCTCTAAGCGTAATTTGAGACAAGGAATCCGATTGTGCCGGCACAATGACCCCAAGTGAACTCTTTACCTATCCTTGAAAAGCGCACCCTCCCCCTTCTCTTTGAATAGAAGACCGGCCTAAAACATCCACAGGAACCGATAGGAGCTTAGTGAAAATACTTGATCCGTACCTGCCGAAGAGGTTCTCCAGACATGTCGGTTCTTCTTTTACCTTGCCTGTGAGATAAAAATATAAAAATTGGTCCAATGGGCCGTGGTAACCTTGATCAACGAATAACCTAAATTAACAAAACAGACTAATTGCTATCCTGGATCAAAATCGAGCGCCGTTTCTCCTGCTTTTTGGCTTTCAGGTCGTGAGGATAAACCGACGGCACTCCAAATGGCCTCCTAGATTGGACTTAGCTAGAACCATGGGCCCATTCGCTCTTCTTGTGACTGGGCTAGCTGCTTCGACGTGCGTCTTCGTCACAGAGCTCCTGTGGCCAAGTTGTGCAGTTCACAACCGACAGCGGCAAGTCCGCAAAACCGCAGGAAGTTCTAAATACGATATTACGTTAGAAGAAAGCCCTGTGAAAAGCGATCGGTCTGAAATGGGTGACCAGAATACAATGGCGTAATCCATTCAAAAGCATGTCATACGTAAGCCACGTGTTGTTCAACTGAGCGTTCCCATTCGTGTATGGAAAAGACTGAGTTCGTTATCCAGGCCACAATCGCTATTTCCTGGTCCAGATTCGTCTTCAGCAGTCCCGTTTTGCAATACAGCGACTCGCAGAGAGCGTGGCTTTGATAATTTCTAGTTTTGTTTAACTCAGTGTTCCAAATAAGTCTCCGTTTTTATTTCGTGCATTAAAACTCTTGCATTAATACAATTTCCGAGTCAAGATTCGTCTTTGGTAAACCCGACTCTCACAAAATCAACGCGCAGAATACTGTGCGCCACTGAGTGCGAAAAAGCGCAGTTCTTATTCAGTTTCCCATTGGCCAAACCCAAAAACAATTCAGGGTAGTGGACTCAGCAGTAGACCACCCACAGAGCAATTGTCTCATTTTTAACGGCTGGTTTGAAAATAATTCTATGCAATCTTCGCAGCATATTGGAAACAAAACGCTTGTATTCGGCTGAATTTACTGAGTCAAAACAGTAAATGACAATCAGAGAACATTGTGTCAAGACCAAAATTGAGGGAGTCATGACGTCCATTCTGCAACCTTAAAAGACAGTCATGAGTAAAACACAAACATTGTAAAGAGAAACTGCTATATCAATGACAGAGATGACTTACACGAATGGAGCAAAGTGTAGGAGAAAGGTCGGTTACACTTTCCAAAGGCACTTGTTTTCCAGCAAAGCCCAGATTTTCCGGTCTCTGTTTAATCCTGAGACTCAATGCGATGTGGGCTGACGTGCACGGAACTGTTCCGCTTGCTAAGTTTCGGCACTGTGGAACCGTAAGCTCGGGCGCACGCCAGCAGTTCCCGCGACGAAGTCCGAAACAGTTTTCCCGTGGCGCGCCATTTGCCGTAGAAGAAGGACGGTACTGCTTCAATGTCGAAGTCGGTAGAAAAATTGCTGAAGGAGTAAGATCCCTGCCAGACCGATATCATGTTATGCAACACCACTCTCACTGTACACGAAAGAAAGGGGCAAGGGGCAGCACTGAGATTCCAACAGTTATGAATGAATATATCATGTGGCTGATTCCGTGCGTAAGGGCGAATTCTGAGTGCCACAAATTTGAAAAATGAAACTTTCATTTCGAAGCCAATTTCGGTTCGTATAGCATCTGGAGTGCCCCAATGACCCTCTAAGCTTGGACGCGCGTCAAGTTCATTTTCACCCTTATAAAAACATGGAAATAATGACGGATCTTACAGATTAGAGATGACGGAAATTTCATGTTTCGGTCGCTGTGCGAGAACTACCAATCCAACTTCCTCGTGTTTCGGCCTCTCCTTTCGTTCTACAGCCCTAAAGTTTCCCGTGTAAGGCAAGCTTTCAACACTTCGCGTTTAGTAGACAAAGGGGATGGCGGAACTTGCGTCAATAAAAATATGCACCTGTTTTTGGACGTAGACCACCCCACCCCGCCCTTCGCACCCAATTGAAAGCTGTGATATCCACAAGTTTCTCATCCTACACTGTTTGAAATTAGCTCCGAAATTTTATGGAGAAAAACCATTTAATCACGTTCATGGAGACTCCATTCATCTTCCATTTTTATTCGGAGAGATTTTCTCAGGGCTCAAACAGATGTTCTTCGGAGCATTGCTTGGGTCCTGATGGGAGGTAAACTGCATGCCTTTTCTTAGATATGTTAAAGAGGACTTTGCTGAAGCATCTTTTAGTCTGAAATGGTCAAAGAAGGGACAATCTCCTTCGAGCTCATTTGACTTATATCCTGTAGCTTTCCCTAAATATTATGAAAACGGAGCTCAACAAGTAGAGGTTCACCTTTCCCTCATTTTTTAACTGGTTGCAAACCCTTTTTTTCGTGTTTTCGTGATAGTAAAGCATGCATTTTTGTTGAAAATTCCGAAACTTTTCGGAGAAAGCCCAGAATTTGCATTTATGGAGGCTCCATGCAGAAGTTACGGGAAAACTCCATGATTTTTCCATTTTCCTTTTTGGAGTTTTCTGACAGTGAGGAGTATTTTTCGTATCTCGATAATCAATCTCAATGCGATTCTTCATTTTGCTATGCAACTGCAGCAATGCAATGCACTCCTTCGAGCCAGGATGGCGAGGACACAGAATTCGCCCATACGCACGGAATCACCCACGTACACACTAAATTCCTATGTAGGTTTTCCTGCGCGCCAATGCACGAAATTAAACATGCACTTCGTAACGCACGAATTTGTGCGCGAAAATGCACGATTTTCTGCATACTTGCGCACGAAATCGTGCATTGTTGCGGACAAATTCGTGCGTAACGAAGTGCATGTTTAATTTCGTGCATTGGCGCGCAGAAAAACCTACAAAGTAATTTTGTGTGTAAGGTGCAATGCAGTGCAAAAAGGTATCGCACCATACGTGCCATAGTCATTATTGCACCTTAGGTGCAATGCTTCCCGAAATGGCCCTATGCTAATGCATAAGGAACGGGATACGGGATGTGCAATGCAAGACATTGCACGAATTGACGCTATGCTATCCTCATAGCGTTTGGATTCTCAGTGAGAGCCAAACGATGATAAACACGAAAAAATTGTTGTGGCGACGAATATGTATGTTGTTTTTGGGATAGCAAAAAAAAAAGTTGTTTGGCGTACTATCGATTTGTTGACAAAACGAACATTTTGCTCCCACGATAAATAATTCGTGAGGAGTGCAAACTTTTTTTTAAAAAAGATTATATTGAGTCCTCTCGACGATATCGATCGTTAACAAAATGATTTGTTCTGACAAAAAATTAGTGCGCCATTTAACTTTTTTTTAATTTCCCAAAATCAACATACTTTTTCGTTGCCACAACATTTTTTTTGACGTGAACAGCAACTATTGCCCGTGCCTACACATTCTTTCTCTCAGAATCTTCGTAAAACACCGAAAATCTTTGTGAATTAACAAAGTTGCAGTCGGTAACATTTTAATTCAACAGAGTGCGTTAACATATAGCATTGGGATACTTTATATTGAAATGACTTGAGGCAAGATCGGTCATAAGAACACAAGGGCTGCATATTCCGTGGCGGGAAAAAACGAACCGGTTGAAAAGGGCAGTCGGCATCCGGGTCATTGAAGACTGCCACCATCATCTTCCGCCACAGAGAGGGTATCGAAGCGCGGCCCGTCGAACAAACCCTGGGCACCGTGGCAATGAACGCGTTGTCCTTCCAGCCGCCCCGAGCACTCCACGATGCAAGGTTGATATTGACCTGATTTCGAAAACCACAGATAATTGATTCGTGAGAAGGAAAAGCCAAGCCGCGGACACTGAAATTCGAAGAGAGAATCATGCCACCAATATTCCGTGACTCGAGGCAGCCCCGGAGAGAGCGAGACTCCAATGCATCACCGAAAAAACGTCAGACATAAGTGAAAATTAGTCCGTGTTTTCCGGGCCGCAAATATCATCCGTTCACTGTGACACACAAAAGAGCCACCCTTTCGCGTTCTGTATCAGCCCTCAGAGACTAAAGTTCAACTGTCCCATTTTACCCCGTGTCCCATAATTACCGCAACAGACCCTACCACCAATGACGATGGGAGTTTGCTTGAATTTGCCGCACTGCAGTAGTTCGAAAATTCTGAACTATTAAATGAAGGATGACGAAAATGATTCTCCAGAGAATTCCACTAACCGAAAGCTCGTCATTTGCCACAAAGAACGATGTGCCGTTCCACGAGTAAAACCATAAGTCTGGATTCTTTCTGTCTCTCCAACCGACATAATGCATCTTCAAGAATATCTTCTTGGGCTGCATATCCAGCGGGCATTTTTCGAAGTGGTCCGGAATAACGCGAAAGGGTCCCTGATAACATAAAATAATATCTTCATTCCGTGCACTTTGCGCACTGTATAAGAAATACACACTAAATGCTTATGGACTTTATGTCCATAACTATGGCCGTGTTTGTGCATACTGAAGTTATGTACAAATTTGTACATAAATTAGGTACAATGTTTTACATACTTAAGCACAATATGGAAATATTGTTCCTAATTTATGTAAAAATTTGTACGTAAGTTCTCTATGCACAAAAACGGCCATAGTTATGGACAATAAAGTACATAAAACATTTAGTGTATACACTGGGGATTCACGAAGGTATCTATGGCAGAAATGTTGCCGACGGCTCCTCCGTCATCTATAAAGATATTTCGGACATGTTAACATAGAAATATGAATTTTTTTCAAAGATTAGAAAGTGAAGGATCATTTATTGCATTTATTTTAAGCGAGATTGTGGTTACAACCTGGCAAGTTTGCCACATGCCCAAGAATCAACAATCTCAGTTCAAGATATTCAAGGACACGGTCCTACTTTCGATGCAGAGGTCGATTCTCTTCAGCAGTTAAAATAAGTCCGTGGCTAATAACAAACTTGTTCATTCGCTGAGCGATAGCGAAGCCTGTTACTCCAGTGGGGTTGATAAGTTTTTCATGTCTGTCTGTGCGTGTCTGTGTACATTACTCCTCCTGAAGGGCTCGGCCGATTCGGCTGAGATTTTGCACCGTCATTAGGTATGTCCTTGGCTCGCCACACACCAAAATTCAACTTTTCCACCTCAATCCGTGTGGTCATTAGAGCCAAAAAACACTTCAAAAACGGCAAAAAAATTATCTTTTCACTGACATTTGTTGTCATGCTTGGTTTTACATCATTTCATGTGTTTTGGAGGGTGCTGGAAATGAAAATAGAAACAATTCCAACATCCGACCCAGGTTCGAGACCTAATGCGACAAAAGTTAGCCAGAATTTAAGGGGAGTCAAACCAAAACTGTCATGCAGTTTGACCAGCGAACCAATCACATCGCCCCTTACATGAAAGGGGATTCCAGCATAAAAGTTTGAACGCAGTGCTGCTTTGATGAGCGATCAGGTCTCCTTGAGTGGCGATGTGTGGCGAGAGTCCGCCAAAGGCAGGACCAGCGCCGCAGGCCAAGGTATGTGTAAACGCCAGGCATGGATTGTCGGGACTGGCGCAGCGTCGCGAAGCCTGTTACGACAAGCCACTGTCTGGCGATCACCTACCTTGTAGTAGATAATGAAGCCTTCCACGAGCACACTGACACCCCAATGTCGAAAACCCACAAGGATAATGGTCGTAACCCAAATAACCCAGCGCAAGAAGCTATCAATGCCACTAGCACTAGCAACTACGTACGGCAAAGGCGTTGATAGATCCGCAGAGTGTTTCCTGAACCAGTAGGACAAACAACATTGCAATCGATGAGAACAGTAGTTTCATTCTGCGTCCGTATACAATCCCACAGGGTTTAGCCCTGCAACGGATGGAAAAAGAATTGTGGGAACTCATAGCAACTGCTAGAGCCAAGGAGCTCCACCTCATCTTACCCTACAAGATAGGAAATAAATGTTAACTTTCAGCACAAATAAAAACGGGACAATCCTTGTACATCGACTTTAGCAGTGAGTTACACCTTGGAAAAAACGTGTCATAATAATTTGGCGACAGAACGTTTGATGCGTCGAACTATGTCCGCCCAGTGGCCAGGCGCGGACGGAACGCGACACCAAGTGCTAGCTCAGAACGCGATCAAACGTCCGGCCAGCTCCAGGGCCCGCGGAAGGCTCGCGACACGTGCTGAGCTTGCACTGTGTGTCGCGTTCCGCCCTCGCCTGACCGCTGGACATAGTCGGACGCACCTAACAATGAGTGAAATGGACGGTCAATCCTCATAAACTTTTGACTTGAGACGTACGCCAGGAACACGCTGTGTCTTTAACATGCTGCATCAAAATACACGAGAGGGTATCAAAGGGCGTACGCAAGTGTGACCAGACTATTTCGCTAGATTACGCCTCGAAATCATCGGCATTGGGCTAAAAACGCAGCCCCAAACAACCCAAAACCGGGGAATAATGGAGGAATTTCGGCTCTTACGCTCCTGTAGCGCCAACTTACACGTGCTTTTGGGCAGAGTGACGCGACTTTTAAGCGAGTGTATGCGCCCTCATAAAACAGGTGGCAGTGTGCAGTGTAGAAGGTGCGAAGCGTCTCCCACTGCGACAAAATGTACATGCCCATGGCCCGCTGGCCAATCGACGAGCACTTTGTGTAACTTCATAAGTGAAGATGTCATATCACATCTGCCTGGTGTGGGTGGTGTTCATTCATCCTTGAATCGTAAAAGCCTGTTCCGTTCCTAACAACAGCAGCTCGCAATGATTGCTATCAGAAGTCATACAAAGCATTCAAAAATGTAAGGCAGGAGAGAATGGGAACTGAGTGAAAGAGGAAAACGAAATACTCTGCAAACCCAAAAGCGTACATTGTATGCTCTCCCTGGAGCATGCTTGCAGGCACGCTCTAGATAGCGTATGGACTTCCTAGTGCACACATGCTACGTACACGCTTCCTCATGCAGGCAACTAGCTATCCCTTATGCACTAGATATATGCTCCAGTTAGCATGTGTGCATTAGTAAGTCCTTGGCAGGCATGCGCTAGCTCGAGCGTGCTTGCAGGCATGCTACAAATGTAACATACAATAACACACAGTGTACGCTTTTAGATTTGCAGAGTACATAATAAGTGGCGATTAAATCATCAACTTTGCCTCGTCGGCTCGTCCTGTATCTTTTGCACTTAAAAAAATTCTGAAAATACTGATGAAGCGTTCTGAAGTTTTTTGGCTGAGCGATAGCGAAGCCCGTTTCTCCAGTGCGGTTGAAAAGTTTTGTCTGTCTGTCTGTCTGTGTACACTACTTCTCCTGAACGGCTCGGCCGATCTGGCTGAGATTTTGCAGGCTTATTAGGTATGTTCTTGGCTTGGCACACGCGAAATTTCAGTATCCTAGCTGAACTGGTTCAGTTTTTATAGCCGAAAAACACCTAGAAAACGGCGAAAAATCCGATCTTCTGCAGGCAGATCACTTCTGTTAAAAAATTTGTTTAAAAAATGGTAAAAAATTGTTTTTATTTTTTTTCTTGAAAACTATTGCAGATATAAAGCCCATTGTAGTCAATTCTATGACACTTCTAGGGATGAGTCTCCCTGATTTTTTCCCCCACAGATCTGAGCAAGTATGCGAACAAAATCTTACGAGAACCTAAATTTTAAACGATTCGACTAAATCTCCAAAAAATGTCCAAAGTCACTTTACTTTAAGCCAAAATGAAGCTTACTCAATTATTTACAAGGTAGGTTTACGCCAGACCGCGTCTTGTCGTAACAGGCTTCGCGATGTTTCGCGGCCTGTTCCTCCAATCCGCGCCTGGCATACCTACCTTGGCCTGCGGCGCTAGCCTGCCTTCGGCAGGCAATGTTTGCCCGTCATCAGTGACTTCTGATTTGTTGCATGCTAGAGGGCTCCGCCCCCAGACCCCCTTCACTCTTTATAGAGTTGCTTCATCTACAAATTACACTACCTTGAGCCTTGTAACTTTTCAACTTGTCAGGTTGGGGGGCTCCGCCCCCCAGACCCCCCCTTCATCAAGACAGGAGAGATCTACCTGCAAGAAACTCAATTTTTCGCCATTTTTTAGGTGTTTTTCGGCTATAAAAACTGAACCAGTTGAGCTAGAGAAGTGAAATTTCGCGTGTGCCGAGCCAAGAACATCCCAAATAAGCCTGCAAAATCTCAGCCAGATCGGCCGAGCCGTTCAGGAGGAGTAGTGTACACAGACAGACAGACAGACAGACAGACAGAAAAAGTTTTTCAACCCCACTGGAGTAACAGGCTTTGCTATCGCTCAGCCAAAAAGGGTTTTAACCCAGAAATTGTAAAATCTTAATCCGTCTACATAAAAAAAAAATTTACAAAGTGCTTTTAACATGTATGAGCCCCCTTAAATAAAATCCGAAATTAGGTATTCACCAATGTTTCTTCAGTTTAAGCCTAACAATAAGCAAAGTTTTAGTTTTTTTGTGTTTTTTTTAACTACCTTTTTCATATTTTTTTCTTTTGTAGGTACATGACAAATGCTGTCACTGGTAAAAGAGGACAACCCAATTTCAGGACGTTCACTATTGAGGAAGGCTTGGAAACAGGCGTAGTGAACTGGGACGAAGTGGGGTATGTCCAATAATTTAGATCATTGTCTGGGCCTGCAGCTGTTCGGCACACTTGGAAGAAATGGATTCCTTCGAAATGTTTATTTTAGCCATGACCTCGAACAGCTCCCAGTTCACTTACCCGGAGAAGATTTTGTACTTTTACCTGGAGAGTCTGATGAAGATCTGCAAAAGGCTCCGCAGCAGCCAACTCGGAGTAAGCTCCTGAGTTTTTTCAAGGTGGTAGCACAATATAATCTGCATGATACTTAGTACCAAGACATTCCAAGGTCGTTCACCTGGGAAGGAAACCAATGGCGACATCGGGAACGTGGAACAAATTGTCTTGGCGTGGTAATGCCCCCATCTGTATTTGGAAACAGGGAAAAATATGCCCTTTGCCAGCTACTCGAGGGGGCAAAAACTCGCGCAATCATGTGTAGTACACGGCCCCCGAAATCACACGCGAATCATTGAGAATCACGCGAAATCAAGCAATCCGAAATCAACCAAAATCACTAAATTCGACCGAAATTAGGCAGAATCACACACTGTTAAAAAAATTCTGAAAATTCAGACCGAAAGTGTCAGACTTGTCCGTCTGAATTTCGTTTTCAGACTAGAGTCCTAATATTTGGACCGCAGGTCTAAAAATACGGACCTTGTAGTCTGAAAAAAATTTCAGACGCGGCGGTCTGAAAATTCAGACTTAACAAGGTTTAATAATTTGCCCTGCGAGTCTAAAAGTAGAATTCAGCGCCCGGTCTAAATTTTCTGCCCGACTCGTCTGACTCCCGCCCTCTCTCTCTACACACGCTGCCTTAATCGGACTGCCCCGAAGGTAGCACCTTGAGCCCCAGAGTAGCCCTCTTTATAGCGCTCTGGGAGCACCTTGACCAGCTAAGCTAGTAGGCCCGAAAGCGATCTAGTTTGTCTCGGACTTGTTCGGCTGAGTCCGTTCGGCACCGAGCAGGGCCGAGCACCGAGCCGAGCCCAGTGTGGCGGCCGCAGGACTGTCCCCGCCGGTGCATTCTCGGAAAGTCCGGCGAGGCAGGGCCGGCTGGAGGCGCCCTCTGATTGGCTCGGCAAGGAGGGGAGCGTTAATCCGTCGGCAACTCGGAATGTTTTGGCCGACCCGGCGCCCTGCACGCAAAACGTCAGTCTCCAGCAGTCTTCCAAGGTGCACACATCGCGTGTATTTTGCGTCAGGTCCACTCGCTCGGCGCGCTGAAGTCATGTCGACGGAAAGAAGCGCATTTTAGTTCGAAGTGTTTTCTGCTGATGACCCTTCTTGACGCTGTAGTGACTCTGCGCTCGCTGTACGCATCTCCCGAAACTGAAGGGGCGGGCGGTGAGAGGGCGAGAGGTGTTCTAAGTTATTCGCCTCTCCCCGTTCACACTCGTCCCCAAAGTGCCTTCATCGGATATTAGTTCAAACTTCTGGTTGGACGAATCTGATACGTTCACTTCGTGTGCACCGGTGCGTGTTGGATCGTGTGCTTGCCACAGTGAGTTAATTGTTACAACCAAGGTTTGAGTTCATTTTGCAATGATAAGCAAAGAAATTTATGGTTATGATGACTAAAGTGACCAAAGTGACTTTATAACTTTTTTTGAAAAAAATACTTGTCTCATAACCTGGATAAAAGTTCCTTTCCATTGCATTAACTCATGCACTAAGAGTTGTACACCACCTTATTTTAGTTTCTGAGTTATGGATGTTTACGTTAACTTTTAGTCGTTTCTCTCAAATTTTCCTCACGACAAAGGATTAGCTACCCAGTCTTCATATTATTGTAATTATATCTATTTTTGCAAAGGAAATAGATAGCTTTTATAAAAAAATATCTCCCTTAGTTTTCCTGAAACACCATAAACCAATAATAAGGCAAAATCTTTTAAATTTGAAGAAAAATAAAAGTGGGCCTGATAAGTTAGCTTTTTAAAAGCTAATACAGCCTCTTCTGGACTTGTATTTTCAAATTTGACAACGCTTTCTTTTTCATATGCAAAAATAGATATAATTGCAAGAATCTGAAGGCTGGGTAGCTAATCCTTTGTCGTGAGAAGAATTTGGAGGAAACGACTAAAAGTTTACGTAAACCTCCATAACTCAGAAACTAATTAGAGTTGGAGTCCCCAACTTTGAGAATAAATTTATCTAATAGTGGTGGAATTTTGACCTCAAAATGAACTTCCTGTGACAAATATTTCTAGGACATGCAAGTTTCACTTGACAGTATCCTTAAGGTTACAAAATTGACTTTTACTAGCCTCAGCAATTTTCATCCTTCTTAAAGCATTGGTTGGATCAACTTTCATATATTACCTTGCCCGCACTGCGCACAAAGAGGGAGGCGAGGGGTATGGGAGTGAACTGCTGAAAGCAAATTCAGACCAGGAAGCCCTTTTTTAAGAAATAAGACATCTCAATTTTAAGCTCACCAAATTCCTAAATTTCAAAGTCCAGCGGTCTTAATACCAATTCAGACTAGAGGTCTTAATCCATATTCAGACTTGTGCTCTGAATTCACAGGTCTGAATTTTCAGACCGCATGTTTCTGAAAAAGTTGGTCTGAAAATTAGGAGTGCCTTTTGCGAAATTTTCTTCAGTTCATTTAGTCTGAATTTTCAGAATTTTTTTTTAACAGTGCACGAAACCAGGCCAAATCAGTCCGAAATCATTTCTTTCCGAACACAATCACACGCAATCACGCTCAACATCACCCTGGTGCGTCGCGAAATAAGGCAAAATCAGCCATGAAATCAATTAAAACCATGCGCAATCATTGCGTTTTCCGATTCATGTGTACACGAAAATCCCGAGTTTTGCCCCCTCGCAGCTACTTTTAAATGTCCCGAGACCAACGAGTTTTCAGGATTTACGAAGACATCGTGGAGTCGTGTATAACACCTTTGAGGAAGCAACTGTTGCACTTGGATTGACATACGGAGGAGAAGCAGTTATGCAGACAGTGCGTGAATGGCAGGCTGTTGGAGATCCGTTTCAAATCAGGATTGCATTTGCATTTATGTTGCAGCATAATACCTTTGATCCGTCTGAGTTGGTTACTGATTGCTGGGAAATTTTGAAAGATTTCATGATTGGAGACATAATTAACGACCCAAGTCAACCAGATCTTGAGCCAGATGATTGATACGTGCTTGCTCTGCAACATATTTGGTCAATCCTTTTAGCTGGAAAAGTCGATCCCGCCTCTTGTCCTCTACCGTTTGAACGTCCACAAGTTGTAAACAGACGCAATGTTTTGATTGATCCTGAAGGAGTGCTCAACGAGGGTCAAGAGGAAGCCTTCAGGTCCATTATGACAGCTGTTGAAAACTCTCATGATAAGTCGTATGGTGGAAACACATGTTTCTTCGTAAGCGGCTGTGCGGGTACTGGCAAAACTTTTGTGTATCGCAAATTAGGATTTCAACTGCAGAGCCAAGGTCGAACAGCAGTCTTCAGTGCCTACACTGCAACAGCAGCCCAAGAACTTCCAGGAGCGTTGACATGCCATTCCGCTTTTGGTATTCCGCTTAAGATGCCTGACGGAAACATGTTCCCCACATCCTATCTTAACATGCAACATCCGCAAGCTGTGGCATTGGCTAAGGCCTCACTGGTCTTTATCGACGAAATTTCAATGATGAAATGCTGGCAGTTGTCTGTCATTGAAACTCTCTGTCACGTAAGTTATGGAAATATAAAAATTATACATTTTTTTTGGAATTTTCAGCGAAATTTGACGTTTTACTTGCCATGCACTGAGATTTTTGTATCTTTAACTTTTTTTTTAACAGCATGTTACCGGAACCACGAGAATTTTTGGAGGAAAAGTTATTGTAGTGGGAGGAGATTTTAGACAGACACTTCCCACCTGCAAAAAGGAAGAAGGGGACATTCTTTCAAATTGCGTCTTCTCAAACCCTCTCTGGGAACATTTCCAGATTCTGCAATTAACTGAAAACATGCGTGCTGTCAACGATCCTGAATACACCAAGTGGTGCCTTTCGATCGGCGATGGCACTGCCAATGTGGAACCAGGATTTACGATGTTCCCTCTAAAAATTGGCCAGGAAATAGTTACATTTACCAAGAATTTGCCATCTTTAATTGAAACAGTTTTTAAGGGTGACTTCCATAACCACAAAAGAGCAATCATTGCAAACACTAACAAGAAGTGCTGTGAAGTCAACGATATTGTTACTTGTTCAATAAGTGGTCAAGGTTTTAATTACCTTAGTATGTCACTATTAGAAAACGTAGATTCCACGGAAAATGACAATGAGGTAAACGATTTCCTCCTCATCGAAACCAGAGACAGAGCTCAATCACTAACACCCAGTGGCATGCCATTCCACGCACTCAAACTTAAAGTTGGTTGCGTTGTATTTTTACCTTTTACTTTGAATCACCACTTGGGGCTTGTTAATGGAACAAGGATGATAGTGACCGCATGCGGAACGCATCTGGTTTAAGTGAAGGTTCTTACTGGCCCGATGACTGATCGGGAAGTATGGCTTCCACGCCTCTGTCGTCGTGATGATGAAGAAGTGAAGAGGATGGTTCTCACACGTGTTCAATTTCCACTTCGACTGGCCTACAGCCTCACTGTTCATAGGTAAGAATGTAAAAATCAGTAGTTTCTCTGTCAAAAAGACGTGAAGTACGGTAAATACGGTCATTAAAGCAGACTCTGGTATTGCATTGTTCTCGGGAACTTTAAAAAAATTTAATTGAAATTAACAGTCCGCAAATAACTCTAAAACGACAAATGTGTAGAAATCATTGATTGGCTGACCTAAGGCAGCTTCTGCGTCACATGTTAGGCGCGCATTCGATTTTTTGTAACGGTTAAGCGGCCCCTCGGCCTTTTTCAGAACACCATTTTTGACGGACTGCGATCACTTCGGATGTTTAAAAACAGCATTGCTGCAAAGTTGATCAAAACGTTAGAATTAACTTTTTGCAATTTTACCAAGTGATATGTTTGTAAAACGTTTTCTTTCGTTTCTAAACTAACTTTGAATTTAACTTGAAATTTTTCATTTTTTTTATAGGTCGCAAGCCAGAACATTTGAGTACTGTGGATTTTACCTTAAAACGTCCGTGTTTGCCCACGGAATGCTTTACAATGGGATTTCACGTGTTGGGGAAACCACGAAAATCGCATTTTTCATCCCAGATGGAGCGTTCCAAGGGCGCCCGATTCGTGGTGGAGCAGGAGGTGCACAAAGACCCATTAGAGTTACAAACATTGTTGATTCTACTTTGCTTGATATTGCGCATGCAACATGGTTCGTATTTATTTAATGTTTGGTCCTGGAAGCGGAGAAAGTGAATAAGTCAGCTCATCTCAAAATTGAGTTATTTTCGCCTTGTGAATGTGCCCTTGTTTATGAAAAGTGAACATGGTTCCGAAGTCAACAAAAACATTATATTTTGAATCATTTTAACCGTCTTGAAAGTGATACTACACGTTTGGAATTTTCACATTCATTTAAATGACCTTTTTTTTCTCTCGGAAAATGATGAAAATAAACTTATTCTGTTCTTCCGCTTTGTAGATCGTTAACACTTGTGTGTACATTACCGTACATTACTCCTTCTGAACGGCTCGGCCGATCTGGCTGAGTTATTGTATGGCCATTAGGTATGTCCTTGGCTCGCCCCACATCAAAATTCAGCTTCTTATCTCAATTCCTTCATTTAAAGAAAGCAAAAAAGCACCTGAACACGGCAGAAAATGGGAATAAGAAGGGGATAGTGCATTTTACTACTGTGTTAGTACATTTGACTACCCTGGATAGTCATTTTTCGACGCACTGAAGCGATAGTACTTTTTACTAAACACCGTGTTTTGTGACATAGACTACAACGCATTGTGGATTCCACTGCTCCGTTTGGTTATTGGCACCCAACCAGCATAGTGGAGAGTACTGGTACGTTTAGTAAATGACACTCAGCTGCATAGTAAAACGGCTGCTTGTCTAAAATAGACTACCAGTGTTCGAATGCCTTTTGAGTGCACACAGTCGCATCAGGAGGCTGCGGCTACACCACATCGGCCTTCCCTTTGCACTGTTTCATTGCGTCGATATGTCGTGTGACTTGCTCCGCTCCACCTGTAACGGCAGCGACCAGGAGTTGAACCTGGGCCGTCCGATCACAGTGCCATCGCCTTACCACTCGGCTGTGCCTGCGCGCTGATAGGGCTGTCTCCAGCAGCGGAGCACATGCACGGCCGCGCCGTGTCCGCCCCTCCTCTCTTCCGCCGCGCGACAGGGAGGGGATGGGCCTCGGCGGGGGCAAGGAGGCAGGGGTAGGGGGGGTGCGACGATGCCGGATGGGAGAACCTACTATGGGGTAGTACCAGTTACTATAAATGGCTCACTCAATCGTTTAGTAAAATCCACATTATAGCGTTTCGTGAAATTGCCACTGAGAAAACCTTACAAACTATTTTGGGCCTTACAAAGAAAAGTAGTTTGTATAACAAAGTATTTTGAGCATACGTAAGCTTACAAAGAAAATACTTCGTAATTTACGAACTATTTCTTCGTATAACAAAGTATTTTAGTTTGTTATATGTATGCTCAAAATACTTTGTAAGGTTTTAAGAGTGTGATTGGCTGAGCGATAGCGAAGCACGTTACTTCAGTGGGGTTGAAAAGTTTTGTCTGTCTGTTTGTCTGTCTGTCTGTCCGTCCGTCTGTCTGTCTGCGTGCGTGTGTGTGTGTGTGTGTGCACTACTCCTCCTGAACGGCTCGGCCGATCTGGCTGAGATTTTGCAGGGTCATTAGATATGTCCTTGGCTCGCCACACACCAAAATTCAGCTTTCTATCTCAATCCATTCGGTCATATTAGCCAAAAAACACTTAAAAACGGCAGAAAAAAGACAACTTTTTGGGTACTTTCAACTTTGTGTCAAGTTTCATATCGTTTCATATGTTTTTGAGGCTGCTGATGACGAAAATAGAACCCGTTCAGACCCCCGACTGAAAGTTGAATCCGATTGGTGTAGATTTTGATGACCAAATGCTATTTTTGAGGGGATCACGCCCATTTCCACGGCCTGCCTAGGAAAGCAGCCTGCCGAAGGCAGGTTAGCGCCGCAGGCCAAGGTAGGTACGCCAGGCGTGGATGGTCGAAACTGGCGCAGCATCGCGAAGCCTTTTACGACAAGACACGGTCTGGCGTACACCTACCTTGTCACTTTTAACTTTGAACAAAGTGGTTAAGAGTTTGGCTGAGGAGGTGAACAGACTTGTAGGCAACATTTGGAGGATTTTCAAAACATTTTCATTTGTTCATTTTGTTATTTCTTTTATGGCTGAGCCATAGCGAGGCCCGTTACTTCAGTGGGGTTGAAAAGTTTTTCTGTCTGTCTGTCTGTCTGTCTGTCTGCGTGTGTGTGTGCACTTCTCCTCCTGAACGGCTCGGCCGATCTGACTGAGATTTTGCAGGGTCATTAGGTATGTCCTTGGCTCGCCACACCCCAAAATTCAGCTTACTATCTCAATCCATTCGGATATTCGAGCCAAAAAACGCATAAAAAACGGCAGAAAAAAGACAATTTTTTAAGTACTTTCAACTTTGTGTCAAGTTTCATATCGTTTCATATGTTTTAGAGGCTGCTGATAACGAAAATAGAACACTGTGCGAAAAAAACACAGTAAATCCCGTTAACTTTTTTGCCGGGATTTACTGTAGCTCAGGACACAGTATTTACTGTGCCTGGTTACAGCATTTACTGTACCTGGTACAGGATATTCCGTGCTTCACTCCTGTGGTAACAGTAAATCCCGTAGAAATACAGTAGATCCTGTAAAAAAAGTACAGTAAATCCTGTACTCTGAACTACAGTGACAGCTGTACTAACCACTACAGGATTTACTGTGATTTTTTCCCACAGTGAACTCGTTCGGAATTATGACAACCTCGTCAGAAATTGATGACATTTTCATTAAAGCTCCTATACTTATTGCATGGGCGTGACAACCATGTCATAAATTGTTTTGATGACATTGTTGTAAGGAAAATTAGCCTTGGAATTGTCATCAATTGACGACTCAAATTTTCTCAGTGTAAGCGCCGCAGGCCAAGGTAGGTGTATACGCCAGGCGTGGATGGTCGAAACTGGCGCAGCATAGCGAAGCCTGTTACGTCAAGACACGGTCTGGCGTACACCTACCTTGTTATTATGTAGTGCAATGTACTGTTCGCATAGTCACCTCTTCTGCATATTGGCTTACTATCCAGGTTTAGTAAAATTTACTAACCCCTTTTTCTCGGCGGGTTACACAAGCGGGAGGAGTAGTATACTTGACTAAACGCTGGCGGGCTATACTGCACTGCAAGAAAAAGTCACAACAAAATTACACATAAACTCCTCGCAACTATTTTATCAGGAATTTTTTGTATTTTCGAAGTACATTAATTGATGTACTGAGTACAATGAGACCGGCATGACGAGTGCTGTACAGTCCAGGCGTGGTTGCACTGCAAGAAAAAGTGTGAATAATTCAACAAACGTACAACAAAAACTGTCCTTTAAAAGTACAAAATGGTTTCTCTGAAGTACAACGAGAATTGTACAAACCACAACAAGGCCTGGACTGCCTAGCACTCGCCATGCCGGCCCCATTGTATTGTACAGCAATTGTTGTACTTTGAAAGTACAATAAATTCCTGGTAAAAAAAAATTGTCAGGAATTTGTGTACTTTTGTTGTGGCTTTTTCTTGCAGTATATGGATTATACAATTCTCGTTGAACTTTATACAATTCCTGTTGCACTTACATTGTACAGGGCTCGTTGCACTATTCACACTTTTTCTTGCAGAGTGGGTTGGGCCAAGTGAAGTGGGTGTAAAACTGGTAGGCAAAACATGTGTGTGCATCCCTCTTTCGGTGTAAGGAATTGGTTGAACCGCCCTGATACCTCGGGGTATCGAAGTGGGAGCCAGTTAGATAGTGTGTTGAACGAGTTGGTTTCGGTTAGTGTCAAGAATAAATAACATAAGATTCAGCCTTTAAAAAAAAGTATTTTATTGATACGAAATGAGTAGAACAAAAGCTACTTGGCAGTTTTGATTTTTGGTCACGGACATACATGTGTTATGTTAAATTCTTTGGCTGCCGGCGGGCTACTAGAGCTTCCTCTGACGCCTTGAAACTGAATTAATAAAACTTCATACGTGACAATAGTCCCCGCCATCTGGAATGTGACGTAACAGTATCAAATATTTCTGCACACCAAATAGCTGTGGACATTTCTGTTACCAGTTACCGAACGATTTTGAGTCCATGGCGGAAACGTTTTCATTCGTTACTAAATGGTGACGTATTCTAACACAAACCATAGACAAATCTGTCCAAACACTTTTGGGAACATTATAGTATATTATCAAAGCCCCAAATTGCTCACAGATGTCGACAAATATCTCCGTAACAAGGATTATCAGAAAGTTCATAAAAAGTACGTTATTAAGGCAACAAATATGTCCATAAGCCATACACTTATGTAGTTCCCGAGGTCTGTCTGTAGGCAAATAGACAGCTTTACCTAGTATTGCGTACAAGCCATGTACAATTCTGTGTACATTTGGTAACGCTTAAGGGGGCAATACACTGAAAATGGCCAAAAACTAACTTGTGCGATTGCTTCCATACGCGTTGTTGAGCATTGTCCAATCTTTTCATGTGTCAAAACCTTACAAAAAGAAGCATTTTAAGCCCAGAATGGCGTCGATCGGACGTCAGGGAGCGGAGCAGCGCCCAATCAAATTTTCGTCAAAAGTTGAACTGGCGGGCGTCCCTCAGTCCGCAAAAATGAAGATATCTCGACCCCGTTTGCGCCAAAATGTAGGTAATTGAAGCGGCTATAGCGCAAACTAGGATTCTGTACATCGAGCAACCGAAAGTACAAAATTTCATCCAAAAACACTTTTTGAGGATTTTGCAAAAATGATCAAAACAGGTTTTTTCGTGAAATTTTGTACTTTTGCTTGTTCGATGTTCATAATCCTAGTTTGCGCTATAGCCGCTTCAATTACCTACATTTTGGCGCAAACGGGGTCGAGATATCTTCATTTTTGCGGACTGAAGGACGCCCGCCAGTTCGATTTTTGACGAAAATTTGATTGGGCGCTGCTCCGCTCCCTGACGTCCGATCGACGCCATTCTGGGCTTAAAATGCTTCTTTTTGTAAGGTTTTGACACATGAAAAGTTTGAACAACGCTGAACAACGCGTTTGGAAGCAATCACACAACTCAGTTTTTGGCCATTTTCAGTGTATTGCCCCCTTAAAAACGTTTCCTCTTTGGTTGCAATCTTGTCTCTGGAATTGGTCAATAGGAATTGTTGCGTCCAGTTTTGAACAAAATTATTTGTTGATGCACTTTAAGTGCATCAGTATTCATAATACTTGCTCTGAGCCTGTTATGGACATTCCACTTATTCCTGATTCTATGAACACTTAATTGTCCTTAGATACGTAATGTGTGTACGATTTTCGCAAGTTAAATCGAAGGGGGTTTTCCATCCTACACTGTCTCTCTTTTACTGGAGTAGGTGAGTTCCAGTGTCTTCCCCCGCTACATTGAAGTTATTGGGAATGCAAGCGTCAATTCTTTTCGATTGCCCGTGAAGCGCACTGGTCCTTGGATCATTTGCAACGGACTCTTGGATACGCATCACCCGTGAGAGGCGATGCATCTGCAGCGGTGCGCAGAAGGCCAAGTCGGAACGCACACAAGAACGTGTCCTTCAGCTGCAAAGAACACTTTTCTTTTCTACTTTGAACGATTTGAAGCTCATTCAGACAAATCACAGGAAACAACTTTTTAAAAAAAGGAAGTTTGCCGTCACTCCTTGGAAAATTTTAAGCTTGTGAACTCCTTGAGAGCCTACCGTCAGCATTAGTGATCTTGTCACGTAGAAGAAGTTGTATCCGGTCAGAGCAACGTGGTCCGTGTTGACCTGAGCGAGGAACCGGCGAACCTGGAACCCATTCGACGACCAGGCTCAGCCATTGAGAAAAGTAATACTGCAATACTCTTTCTTTTCACACTCCCGTCACACTGAGAACGAAAAAGTCGCCACCATTGCCCTTATTGGGTGACGCACGCGGTTCTATGACGGTTCACTAACCATTTTCGCCCAAAATCTGGATGAGCGATTCTCACGTTTCGGGGTAGTTTCGTTTCTTCTGACTCCTGTGCCCAAACGAGCGCAGATATCGACATGGGGTTTGTTTCTGACGTTAGGGAGGGCCATATCCCACTAAACGCACACATTTCGAAAAGTTCACGTTCGTTGGATTGGTCTACGTAGCGTTTGGAATACCCTAAATGTAACTTCCGTGATTGTCCAAAGAGAACATACTCGAACTTTCCACCCACAGTGTGGCGGTGTGGGTCGAAAATGCTGCCAACTGTCGATGGGGATTCGAAGCTTGGCATGTCTCGAGCTAATTTCAACCGAAGACCAATACGCCAGACTTCTTTCAAAGGTACTTATGCTGCAACGAAAAATGTCCTCCGTATATTCAATTTAACTACACAAATTTCGAAAAGGCAGCTCTGGACTTCTCCCCAAGCCAAACTTTTAACTTTCCATGACACAAGCCATCAAAGTGGAGTCCCTGGGAAATAGTTGCATGGGTCGCGGAAATCTAAGATGCTGTATACGGTCTCAAAGCGGGCTACAGCATTATAAAATGGCGTGTATCAACAATTACCTGTAACTTCCGTGGCACCCTTTACCCAATGTTGCAGCAGCACTAGGTGAAAAAATTTTCCACTGAAATGTCGGGCTGAGAGTATCAATTGACCCTGGAACGACTTTTAAGCCACAGCAAGCCCGAGTCAGCCGTTAAAGCTGATTTTGACACTTTGTAACTTCCGTGATAACGTAATTTCCGTGATCAAAACACCCACTAAAACGTATGGGAATACCTTATGGCTCATGTTTTAAGGAAGATAGTACAAGGTCTTAACTATAAATACCATTGCCATAACTCTATCATCCAGGACCCCAATAATCAGAAAAACTTAATTGGATATTTCTCACTTTCGGCAAATCAGAGACGTCAAAACTACCCCGAAACGTGAGAATCGCTCATGGGGGTCATGGCCCCGGAAGAACGTCATCGGGGACCTCACAACGTAGCCGGTGACGTCATTCAAATTTAGGCAACGAAACGAGTGATAATCTTTGGGTGATAATTTTTTCGTCACCCAAAATTAGGCTCTAAAGTTACATCACCGAAGCACCGGAACCAGCTCCCAAAATCGTCTTACCGTATTTGGAGGTTTTGACGTTTAGAAATCATAGAACACATCATGTAAAACAATTTTTAGAACAAATGAACCTATAATATTTATTTATCGGTGACTGTTTCCGGCTTTCGATATTCTTCTTCTTCAATTTGCGCTTTCGTGGAAGTGTCTGTTGTTAGTGTATTGGTCGCAACGTAACGTGGGGCAAGTTAAGTTTCGAGGATGCCAGTCTATATGAACTTGACACGAAATAAGAACGAATGTGGCACGACTTGCATTCAAATAAACTTTACTTCATTGATGCTCTGCAAACTGAAGTGTGTACATAGTACACTCTTATAAGAGCATACTTCCAAGTACACTCTTATTTACAGCATACATGCTAGGCACACGCTAAAATAGAGTGTGCCTGGCATGTACACGCTAAATAAGTGTGTACCTTGCAAGTACACGCTAAAATACAGTCGATTAGCCCTATCTAAAAGCATGGGCTAGTTTAAGTGTACTTTCCAGGTACACTCTTATTTAGCGTGTACATGCAATGTACACTCTATTTTAGCGTGTGCCTAGCAAGTATGCTGTAAATAAGAGTGTACTTGGAAGTATGCTCCAATAAGAGTGTACTATGTACACACTTCAGTTTGCAGAGTGGGCATCTTCTCCTTCTACACTGAGATTTGAAACGTTATGCACATAGCACGTATTGTGCAATGCATTGAGACGTCGCAACATACGTATAATGCCATATTATCCTAACGTGCAATGCGTCCCGAAAATGCCCTATGCATTCCTACGGGAATAGAAATTCAAAAGCATTGCAACGATTGACGTTATACAGACAGCGTTTGGATTCACAGAGTTTAACTACCAAAATTAAAAAAAAAAAAACAAGACGTAACGAGCTTCGTACGGTTAAAGATAGTCCGGAAATGGTTTCATCTATTGGTGATTGAATTTGAAACATGAAATGAATTGTCTGCCTCATTCATCTCGAATATCAAAATTTCACTTAGCAGGATCCCGAAGCTGAAAGATCATTCAAGAAACGTAACTGCCACGTTTGTTTCCAATAATAACCTATATTTTTAATCTTTTCTCTGTTGTGTTCTGAGTTAGAGTTCACTTCTGAGATTTCTTTACGTTTGGTTAAAGTAAAGCATGCACTTCCGATTTGCCGAATGCAGTGGAGTTCTGCACGGCTCTACACGCAACAATGACATCAGGAATAAATGTTTACCTCGGAACAGTAACTCTCAGAGGGTACGGCGTGCAGCACTCTCCGTGGCTTCTTGCTCTCGTCGTGGATCGCGGATGAGCACAGGAGGACCGTGCAAGAACGTAGCAGCAAGATGCCAAAAGAGTAGAAGAAATATACATAATGGTAGGCGTCCATGATCAACCTATACACAAACATCATAAGTTGAACATTTGTTAGTTTTCGCGTTGAGACTCCGGCAACTGAAGAAATGGTTGACTCTAACGAGTCAATCTGACGCACTTCATCCTAGGAACGAGGCACACGTTGGAACGATTGTAGCAAGAGGTTACGGTCTGTCGTCATTGTGTGTTTCAAATTCACTACAAACCTAACTGTCTACTAAGTACACACTTATAAATGCATGCTTGCAAGTACACACTTACAAACGCATGTTTGGCCAAGTACACACTTACTACAGGTAGGGGTGTGCGAATCGTGAATTTTGTCTTCGAATCGAATCTCTCTCTAAATGTCCCGAATCGAATCGAATCCGCAATTTTTCCCCGAATCGAATCGAATCCGAACTTCTGCACGAAATTTTCGAATCGAATCCGAATATTGCCAAATTTTAAAAGCTTCTCTAAAATGTGGCGTAATGCCTGCTGGGGATGGTTTTTTGTCAGTTTAGTACAGAGGATGGGAGAGGGGAGGGAAGGTGGAATGCCAAAACGCGGGCTAGGTATAAGAAAGCTAGCGGCGACGAAACGTGTTGATTCGATTTTTCGAACCTTTCGGTATCGAATCGGCGAGTCCGTGAGCGAATCGAATCTATGCAGATTCGATTCGATTTCGAACAATTCGCACACCCTTAACTTCAGGCTTGGCAAGTACACACAAACGCACATGCTTAGCATGGAGTTAGACGGCGCCAATCATGCGTTTGTAAGTGTGTACTTGGCCAAGCATGCATTTGTAAGTGTTTACTTGGACAAGCATGCGTTTGTACGTGTGTACTTGCAAGCATGCATTTGTAAGTGTGTACCGTGAAACGGGGTAATTTCGGACACTCGGTGTAATTTCGGACAACTCTGCCCGGAAGCATTGCGATGATGCTCCCATCTAACGGCCTACTTGGAGGCTTGTCCCGTTGCGCGCATCGCATCGGCCACACTTAAAACCATCTGATCAATCACCCGGAGGCCAAATCAGGGGCAAACTCCAGGAGAAATAGTGGTTTTTGTATTTAACCATTTTTACCTAAATTCGCTGTATGCGTAAAAACTTTGACTGGCAAGCCGAAACTGTTCATGGCCGGTTCATGAGGGGATTGTTTGTCGATTCAATCATGTTAAGAGCATACTGTGTCAAATTTTCAATCACCTGGGTCAAATAGTATGGTTTATATGGGCTTAAAACTAAAAAAATGCTACTTTACGGGGTAATTTCGGACATACAAACGTCACGCCAGGGAGAGTGGGTATGTCCTGAACACTTCCAATTTCGCAGGGTTTCAGTGGCGGAAGCTGAAGAGCTCTTCTGAAAGTTGAAGATAATCCAATAACAACGATAATCCTCAATTGTTACAGCGGTTTCTTTGTAAACTTCGAATTTCATGAAAATGGGGCAAAGCTACATCTTTAATACTTAGTTTTTTTAAGTGCGTGTTCTACCTTAGTGTCAACGACTGTTTTGTGATTAATTTTCTTTCATGTGACATGAGAGTAGCCCTTGGCGAATGGCTGCATAGCTCGCCGGCTTACTATGCAACGCTTTCCACTGAGCCCCTGTATCTTCCTAACCGTACGCACGACACGACTACTTGCCTTTCATATGCATGTATGTGATCGTATGTAATCTTGTAGAGGCAGATTTAAGATTCACTTTCGCGTAATAACCCGCGTGGAAGGATCTGTAGTTTAGGCTACACTGGAAAAATATAATTTTTTTTGTAATTGTCTATTTAGATTTAAAAGAGAGATTTCTGTACTTTAAATACAATTAAACTGTTAATTGAGTACATAAAAATGTAGTCAAAGTAAAGATAAAGTATAGAAAACTATAGTTAAACTGTATAAAAACTACCAGTTATTTCGGACAACTATAGTTTTTGACCCCAGTTTGTCCCACTTGACTATATAGTTCAAAGTACAGTTTTACTGTAGTTTATTTACACAGGTAGACTTGGTTTAAAAAAGAAAAGAGACTGCAATTTGAATTTTGCGGTCAAAATTCAAAAATAGTAATTTTCGAGCCCTGTTTTGAGGAAACTCTTCCTCCCTCCCACCCCATGGGTAACTGAAGTTGTGCTGATTGTGTTTCTTGGGTGAATGTTGCCGGGAGTTGAACCTCGGACACTTCAGTTGCGAAGCAGAGGCCTTGACCACTGCTCCACTGAGCTTCCATGTGGGACAGGGCTTGGCCACTCGACCACATGGAAAGGCCTGCTATCCCCAGGAACTAGAGTGCAACTGCAAGAAAAATACAGTTTTACTGTAAACTGCTCTGTACTATAAGTAAATTTTGCAAATCCAAGAAGTAATTTGTATTAAGTTTGCCTCTGAAACAAAAAGACCATGAAGTGATTTAATTTAGAGTGCCTTTTCAGTCTTATTTTTCAACGACAGGAGTCGTTACCTTTTTAACTTCTGAGACGTTCTGGGTCAAGACGCTTCCTAATTTTTGTTGCGTTTAACATTCAAACACCTGGTTATAATGAGTTTGATGCTTCTTAACTAGAACTTGTTTGTCATCTTTGTCAAACTAGTGACACATTGTGGTTTGTTGATTTCCACGATTCCTTGTCACATAATACCTGACCAATATGGAACGTTATAAAATAATCAAACAGATTACCAGATGGTGTTTTAAAGATTTGGTTACATTCAGTCATGTGTTTTTGTTTTTGCTTTTTTTTAAATTTTAGTTTAGTTGTGTCTTCTAAAAGTCTCCAATGTCCAGTATTTCAACGTAAACTGTTGGTCTGCGCACTTATAACTTCCGAGGCTCATACATTATAGAGACTAAAACCAACCTTTATAGCTTGAAAATTTTTTAAAAAAATTACTAAAATTTCTAAAAAATATATCTATTCCCATCCTAATATTCTATATTTTAGTTACATTTTATAATTGTTTCTGTGTCTTCATATCAAATTGCAGTGCTTGACTTATCTTTAAACCATGCCTGAAATGCGAAATTACTGCAAATTGTAGTAAACATTCAACTTGCTTGTCATTGTGTATAAAAATGTGACCAGAAACTACATTTGCTTTGTGGATTGTGCTGAAGATACAAGTGTAGGCAGATCTTCAGTAGTAGACTACAGAATTAAAGAATTAATAACTTCCCTTTAAAGTACAGACCGTACTCAATACCTAGTTAACAAATAACAGTTCAGATAGAGTGCAGTTTTAAAGCACAGCAACCTTCAGTTCCAGGAGCAAACTGTACAACTGTACAAGTTCTGAAGTTTGTTCTTACAAAAAACTGCAGTCAGCAACTGCAGTTTTAGCACTGTAGTTTAAACTGTAGTTTCACTACAGATCCTTCCACGCGGGAAAGTATGGCCCGAGTTGCCTGTGAAAGCTAATCGGTCAAAAACTAACAAATAGAAACGTTCTAAATGGCTCTACTAGTTCAACCCACTATTTCTGAAATCGAACTACATATGAGTGCAAAACATGACTTAAAATTATGTATGAATGACCACCCCTACCTTACTTTTACATCTAAACCCTTACGAATTTCTCACATAATCATATTAGCACTTTAGAAAGAGACAGTGATCGATTTTGGGACCAAAATCAGAACGAAAAGTCGTTTTTTCCAAGGGTGTCCGAAATTACCCCAAAACACGGGGTAATTTCGGACACTGCTTCGGACCCTCCACCGTAAAAACGGTGAGGTGCAAATATTTGAAATAAGCGCCAAATCGAAGCTAAAGGTGCGTAGATGATAAATTTTAACCCTCAAGTCCATGACAGCACCACAACTTTCACAATTTCAAAAAAACCTCTCAAAAGTGTCCGAAGTTACCCCGTTTCACGGTACTTAGTAGAGCGATTCTCACGTTTCGGGGTAGTTTCGTTTCTTCTGACTCCTGTGCCCAAACGAGCGCAGATATCGACATGGGGTTTGTTTCTGATGTTAGGGGGGGCCATTGCCCACTAAACGCACACATTTCGAAAAGTTCACGTTCGTTGGATTGGTCTACGTAGCGTTTAGAATACCCCAAATGTAACTTCCGGGATTGTCCAAAGAGAACATACTCGAACTTCCCACCCCCAGTGTGGCGGTGGGGTTCGAAAATGCTGCCAACTGTCGATGCGGATTCGAAGCTTGGCATGTCTCGAGCTGATTTCAACCGAAGACCAATACGCCAGACTTCTTTCAAAGGTACTTATGCTGCAACGAAAAATGTCCTCCGTATATTCAATTTCACTACACAAATTTCGAAAAGGCAGCTCTGGACTTCTCCCCAAGCCAAACTTTTAACTTTCCATACCACAAGCCATCAAAGTGGAGTCCCTGGGATATAATTGCATGGGTCGCGGAAATCTAAGATGCTGTACACGGTCTCAAAGCGGGCTAGAGCATTATAAAATGGCGTGTATCAACAATTACCTGTAACTTCCGTGGCACCCTTTACCCAATGTTGCAGCAGCACTAGGTGAAAAAATTTTCCGCTTAAATGTCGGGCTCAGAGTATCATTTGACCCTGGAACGACTTTTACGCCCCAGCAAGCCCGAGTCAGCCGTTAAAGCCGATTTTCACACTTTGTAACTTCCGTGATAACGTTATTTCCGTGATCAAAACACCCACTAAAACGTATGGGAATACCTTATGGCTCATGTTTTTAGGAAGGTAGTACAAGGTCTTTACTATAAATACCATTGCCATAACTCTAGTATCATCCAGGACCCCAATAATCAGAAAAACTGAATTGGATATTTCTCACTTTCGGCAAATCAGAGACGCCAAAACTACCCCGAAACGTGAGAATCGCTCAATAGACAGTTAGGTTGTTCGTTTGCAAGTGAATCGGCTATAACTAAGCCTATTCTTGCGCTTAAAACCTTACAAAGTATTTTGAGCATACATAATAGAAACCAATTTTCTTTGTTACACAAAGAAAGTATTTTTCTTTGTAAGCTTACGTATGCTCAAAATATTAACAAACTGCTTTTCTTTGTAAGGCCTAA